AATACCGCCCCCCCCTCCCCCCACCGCTCCTATGGACCAGATGTCACCAGGGCCACCTAAGAAGCCATGTTCTCAGTCATGTGCTGTACTCACAGTAAAGAGGCCGAGTGAAGAAGCACTGCAGGCGCACAACCCTCTGATCCCACATAGTCCAAAATCAGTCCAAAATCAATCATTTACCTTTACTAGAAAAATCCCATCCGGCTCCTGGGAGACCATGACCACCGAGTCGTGCAGCTTCTCCTCAAAGTGTACATGGTTATGGGGTCCCTCCTCCGGCAGCCCGGCGGCAAAGCGGACTCCAGCCACTTTTGGCTTCGTACCTGCAGAGACAGAGATCAGGCAGAGGTAGGTAGTAGACAGATACAACAGAGACAGCTCTGTATTCAATATTACGTCATGAAATGGATTGTTAAATGTAAGCAGTGTATGTACCCGAATGCGAATTGGTTTCGGTCTTCAGTCCCAACAGAGCAGAGCTCAGACTGGGAGAGAGTGAAGCAGCCAGGCAGTTTTGCTGCAGTGCTCTTGTGCTAAAAAGGAGAATGCTGAGAGAAGGAAAGAGCAGAGTAAGAACGAAGAAGTGAGCTCTTCAGTGTGCTGCTTCTACAAAACCCGTGAGTGTTACTCAACTGCAGCAGAGAAAATCTCCCGTCCTTTCAGACAGGGCTGTGCTATGTGGCAGAGCTATGTACATCCCAGGACTGGATGAGCAGTAATATAAATCCATTCAGGTAAAACAGCTCCCATACAAGTATTCCATCTGTGCACAGCAGTCTGTCTGGAGTTCCGCTCGAACTATATAGATTTTAAATGCACCCTCTTTAGGTATCAGAGTTGAGCTTCTTCGGTCTTGTAACAATCCAGAACAGACTGGGAGGGGCAACAGCAGGAGCCAATCATCTGGCAGATTCTGCTCCTTTACTATCCATCTGGTGGCCAAGATACACGATTCTAACTACAGTAAGGAAATATATCAGATGTGTAAGTCTCAGGATTTGATGGGAAGGAACGCAAATCCTCCGACAGGTAGGACGGCTGCCACCTCCTGTGTATGCAACAGTCTGCCTGGAGGCCAGTTTCAGCGTTTAAGCGCGGGTGAGCCCACAGTTACACGTCGGGAGACAATCTAATGACTACGGTGGGAAACAAGACACCCACCTGGCGACCGGAAATGGGGGAACATCGCCTGGAAAGCGGCAAAATATTGTGAAGGTGCAGGAATTGGGCATGATCGGAGGGGTGAAGGTGCAGGAACTGGGGCTGATCGGAGGGGTGAAGGTGCAGGAACTGGGGCTGATCTGAGGGGTGAAGGTGCAGGAACTGGGGCTGATCTGAGGGGTGAAGGTGCAGGAACTGGGGCTGATCGGAGGGGTGAAGGTGCAGGAATTGGGCATGATCGGAGGGGTGAAGGTGCAGGAACTGGGGCTGATCTGAGGGGTGAAGGTGCAGGAACTGGGGCTGATCTGAGGGGTGAAGGTGCAGGAACTGGGGCTGAACTGAGGGGTGAAGGTGCAGGAATTGGGACTGAACTGAGGGGTGAAGGTGCAGGAATTGGGACTGAACTGAGGGGTGAAGGTGCAGGAATTGGGATGATCCGAGTTTAGAAGGTGCAGGAATTGGGATGATCCGAGTTTAGAAGGTGCAGGAATTGGGGTGATCCGAGGGGTGAAGGTACAGGAACTGGGGTGATCCGAGGTTGGAAGGTGCTATGGTTAATGGACACCACAGCTGTCTAGTGCTTGTAAATTGACACTTAATGTGGACAGGTTGCTGAACTCTGCTTTAGAGTACCGGGGGGGGGCGTAAACGCAAGAAAACAAAAAGGCAAATCCAGGCATCTATCTACAGAACTCCTCATGTAGAGGAAATGAAACAGGGAGGGGGGGAGGGGGTATGGAGAGATTAAACTCACCGCTGGCCTGAAAAGATTAGCAGAGATGGAGCAGCAGGAAACAAGTTCTCATCCGTTATAAAAGCTCCCGATCAGATTAGGAGACGGAGAACCTCCCACTGAGCTGCTGCTCCAAGCAGGCCTATAAAATCAGAGAATGTTTTGTCACTTCTGTGCCGGCAGATTGATGGAGGGAAAGCCGTCTGGCCTTGTACGTAGACCACAGCTCGGAGCCGCAGATCTCCAACAATAGTCTCCTCTACCCCCAGCGCTGCTACTAGCCTGCCAGACCATGCTCACCGCAAAACGGAGAACATACTGAACGCATAGCTGGGTCATGCTGACCCATTAGCTCTGAGAACATGAAGGTAAGGAGGCCTGAAGTCATTGGCTACATGTTTGGTACGGACCAGTAACTTGAAAAGGTAATGGAAATGAGGACAGCCCAGCAAGCAGCATGTGCAAGAGGCTGGCAATGGCGACCTCTGTATTTATTTTACACATTTCCTTGAAAAAGTCATCCAAAGGGGATCTGTAGACTTATAGCCTTTGAGACTCTGCGCTACTTTTTGTTTCAAATGGGTCTCCCACCCTCTCCTAGTCTCGAGTCCGAGGGATTGATAGAACAGCGGCGGAGGAGGAGGAACGGGGCTGGCGGCAGAGGAGGAGGAACCGGACAGGCGCAGAGGAGGAGGAACCGGGCGGGCGCAGAGGAGGAACCAGGCAGGGTGACGGAGAAGGATACGGGCAGAGCGGGGGAGAAGGAGGAAACGGGCAGGAAGGCGGAGGAATGCAGTCACAGCTGTCTCTTCTCCTCGCTGTTGCTGGCAGCAGTGGTCTGTGTCCCCGCCGCCTCTGCCGACAAAGGCAGGGAGAGCAGCGGGGGTTGAAAGGGACACGCACCGCTGCAGCCAGCACCAGCGGGGAGAACGGAGGAGCAGAGCGGCGGCAACTAATCGAAAATCAACTAATCGGAGAATCGTTTCCAACGATTTTCATTATCGATTAGTTGTTGCAGCCCTAGCGCCACGCCTGTGATCATCTTGCCATGTCTCACGGGATTTGTAGTTCCAGAACAGCTGGAGGGCTGAAGATTGCCTGACGCTGCTCTACAGGGACCATCCAAGATGAACAACGGGGAGTCAGTAACAGACACTCACAGCCTGAGCCACGGCCAAACAAGCAAGGCAGAAAAAAAAAAAACTAACAAAAAAATTATGTCCATCATCCTAGGACTCTAGTAAAAAACGGAGGATTTCTGGAAGTGCGAGGGGTTATCCTGGGCTAGTCTACTGGGGTTTTTTTTTGTTTGTTTGTCAGTGACCAATCATCCGGTACGTGGCCGTATAATCCAAAAGGTCAACAACTTCCTGTGTCGTCGTCCTCCCCCCCCCCCTCCTCATGGACACCAACATTTTTTTTTGTTTGTCAAATACATTTGTATTGTAAATAAAATGCAGCAGGGTTACATAGCAGATAATACATAAAATTCCAATGTACAAGGTGATAACATTCATCCATGTCGGACCTTAGAGGTGGGTACCAGCTGTAGCAACCAGCCTCCAGGTGGATCCAGTTAACATGTGCACTGGTATGCTCAAGTAGGTTCGTTGAACACCGTGGTTACTTTGAAAAGTAATGGTACTGGAGCCCACCAGGGAGGCCCGGTGGTTTTGCAATGTCAAAGTTATGTAAGGGGGGTATAATACTTCTAGTTGGCACTGAGGCTAGTCTTTCCTGTACTCGACCTGGTATCAGCTCCATCTAGTGGCCATAATGTGGTGCGAACGTAAAAGTCAGATGTTCGCAGAGGGAATGGTTCTGCGAACATTTTCTATACACACCCCACAGACACAATAAAAGCCAAAAGAATACGATTTGGCACTTCTGACATGTGGCCCCCCAATTCTAATGAAGTGCGCGCACTTTAAAAAACACAGAACCGGGAATCAATAAACACAACCTATCAGGTTGCTCAGAAAGCCTTCCCGCCATCGGATGATAAATACTAAATCCCGGCTGACGCGGTTGGTCGTGTAATAAGCGCGGGCACTTGGTGGGGAATCTGTACATTCCGTGTTCTGTCGGGAAATGGATTTGCCCGCCTCCAGTGACAACATGAAGAGGATACATCACGTGAACACGGAATAAAAGGCCTCTCGGGCACAATGCAGTAACAGGTGACACATTCAGCGGTGTATGAGGTCCCGGCAGACGTGACACGTGATGTCCCTGCATTGATTGGTGGCAGGTTTGTGAGAGTTCAGACACCTCCTCGGGGGTCCATTCACTCACATTACACACACTGCGGATAATTAGGTTACTTGTCTGCTCCCCTCTAAGCTGCTCGCGCAGCGCCAACAGCAAAAGCGGGGCCAAAATAATGAGCTGGTGCGACGTGACGAAGCGTGCAGCGAAGTGCGCTCCACGCAGTCTCCGGATGATACCGTAAACCAACATCTGTACACAGCTGCACGCCACAGTATATGAAGCGACAGTACGGACACATGGGCATGCTTAAAACAGCGGGGGGGGGCACATTTTTATTATACTGCTCTCCACGTACAAACCATCAGAGATGTATAAAATGTAGAGTAACTATAGTGCAAGTGTGGGGGGGACATTAGAGTGTAAGCTCTTCTGGTACAGAGATTACCTAAATTACCTTTTTTGGCAGCAGCCATCTATCGCACCCTCCGGAATCTTCTATGGCATTAGAAGTTGTTCCTCCATCTTGGCAGCACTCCGGGCCCTGCACAACAAACAAACCACAACGTAAGACAGGGAAGCGCGTACACACAATGAACACATTTCTAGGCACCGCCACCAATCGCTGACCTTCAGAAATTGCTATCTGCTTGGCTGTGGTGACGACTCTCCGACTCCAACATACACTATCGCCAAAAGTATTGGGACACCCCCCCCCCCAAACCATTGGATTCAGGTGTTCCGTGACATTTCCGTGCTACTAAATATTCAGCGGTCACCTGTTACTGGTATTATAACAAAGTGGAAGCAACTGGGAACAACAGCAACTCAGCCACGAAGTGGTAGGCCACGTAACATGACAGAGCGGGGTCAGCGCATGCTGAAGCGCACAGTGCGTAGAAGTCGCCAACTGTCTGCAGAGTCAATAGCTACAGACCTCCAAACTCCATGCGGCCGTCAGATTTGGCACAACATCAGTGCGTAGAGAGCTTCATGGAATGGGTTTCCATGGCCGAGCAGCTGCATCCAAGCCGCACATCACCAAGTGCAATGCAAAGCGTGGGATGCCGTGGTGTAAAGCGCGCCGCCACTGGACTCTAGAGAAGTGGAGACGTGTTCTCTGGAGTGACCAATCACGCTTCTCTGTCTGGCAATCCGATGGACGTGTCTGGGTTTGGCGGTTGCCAGGAGAACGGTACTTGCCTGACTGCATTGTGCCCAGTGTAAAGTTTGGTGGAGGGGGGGGGGGTTGTTTTTCAGGGATTGGGATTGGGCTTGGCCCATTAGTTCCACTGAAGGGAACTCTTAAGACATCAGCATAACAAGACATTTTGGACAATTTCATGCTCCCAACTTTGTGGGAAGAGTTTGAGGATGGCCCCTTCCTTATCCAACATGACTGCGCACCAGTGCACAAAGCAAGGTCCATAAAGACATGGATGGGGGAGTTTGGGGTGGAGGAACTTGACTGGCCGCACAGAGTCCTCACCTCAACCCCATAGAACACCTTTGGGATGAATTAGAGCGGAGACTGCGAGCCCCTCCTCCAACATCAGTACCTGACCTCACAAATGGTCCAACATTCCCATAGACACACTCCTAAACCTTGTGGACGCCTTCCCAGAAGAGTTGAAACTGTTATAGCTGCAAAGGGCGGAGCCAACCCAATACTGATCACTACGGACTACTAATACTTTTGGTAATACAGTGTATTTTGAGTCACGGACTGGAAACGGATAGGCAGATTAGAACTGTCAAAACGTTTGTTTACCGCATACTTGATTGGGTTCAGCAATGTCAGCCGGGCAAAGTGCAGCTTCATGGAAGGAAGGTCAAGGTACAAAAATCGTCATTAATAGTAGAAAATTCATTCACAGGGATAACTGGCAGAACTTGCCCAGAGCAGCTTTACAAAAATGCTGAAAGCCGATTCCTGACAAAGGAACAAGTAAAATGGCCATTGAAAGTCTTAGAAACAAGAAGGATCCCAAAAATCGTCTACAAGCCTTAACCCCTTCGTGACGGGAGAGGTACAGTGTACGTCCCGTCACAAAGTGGCTATATGACTGGCCACGTACACTGTATTCTAAAAATAATAATAATCAAAACTTGCTGCTGTGGAAGGATCACACAGCAAAAATGTAAAAAGTGTGTCAGTCATTTAGGAACAGAAACTAAAAACTAGCTCAGTCATGAAGGGGTTAAAATAGGATTTCTGAGGCCGATTCTCAGCCACAATGAGTGGAAATAAGAGGCGGCGGGAGGGCAGGGGACCCGTCCTACACATGGGATATAAAACAGTTATAATTACGGCTGTACTTGGCACACCGTGTACATGGAACCCGTCCATAACCTTCCTGTGGTTTCCAGACTCCCACCGACACACCTGCAGCCATAATTACAGCGTACAAACAGCTCAATAACAGGAAGTACACAGCACCGGGGACAACCAAACCGCGCCTGATATAGTCCACTCAATGTTCTTGTGTAAATATTGTACTTTATTACCCCATTACCCCAGGAGAAAATCCATACAGAAAAATATATTGTCAAATTGATACCATTGAAAAAGGTATACGTTAGGTTTCCTATTCAGTTCTGACCGTTTTCATGGTGGACAACTTAATATGGAATTCAGGAGCCAGTCTGTCCAATCCAGGAACCAGCAAGTTTTTTTTTCTTTTAAAAAAGGAGCCAGCTCCATTGACAACTAGAAAAAAAACCTCAAAAGTTGGAGGCCAGCTATGCATTTTTTCAGTAGCACTGGCTACCTGGCCCCTGGGATTTGTCCAGGCTTAAGTCCATGTTATACAACCATTGATGTAGTCTACGAGACCCCTTTCCTCTACGAGACCCCCTCCACGAGAACCCCCCCCCCGTCCCTTTCCTCACTAATCTGCTATCCCCCTTGTGTCTTACAAGAAAACGCCTCATGCTTTCGGACTACAAAGTTCCACAAGGCCAGCAGTCACAGGGAGATCTTTCTTGAGACTTTGAATATGTTGCATCAGAGAGGGAAGAACATACATAGATTCAGGAAAAACCTACCAATGAAACCTGTGAGGAGGTGTCTGGATTCTGCCTGAAGGAGATTACGAAGAACGGATATTAATTCTGCTCATATCTAGCAGGGACAATATCCTTTCCACATGAAACCCCTTGGTCAGAGGTATCTGAGGAGGACCTAACATGGTCCAATTGACTCACTTCCCGACTATTGTAACTCCCTCCATGTTGGCCTTTCTCTAAACTGGCTATCCCCCACTTCAGTCCATCATTAATGCTGCTGCCACAATTATTCACCTCACCTAGCGCTCGGTGGCCCCCGTCCTTCTCTGCCAAAACCTCCACTGGCTTCTGCTCACCCAGTGAATACAATACGAACAACAACAACATCATCATCATACAAAGCCATCCACAACTCCATCCTCAGCTACATCACCCAAACCATCCTGCTCCTCCCATGACCTCTTGTTCTCTGGACCAGGGGTCTCAAACCTCCGACCCTCCAGCTGTGGTGGAACTACAAATCCCCATGAGGCATTGCAAGATTCTAACAGCCACAGACATGACTCCCGAAGAGAGATGCATCATGGGATTTGTAGTTTCACCACAGCTGGAGGGCCGGAGATTTGAGACTACTGCTCTAGACCCTTCATCACCTCCTCCAATAGTTGCCTCCAGAACTGGCAGAGCAGGGCTCAAAAAATAGGAGATATAGGCTCCTCAATTCCACAATTTGTCCAACCCTGTGCTACAGTTGGGAGACATTTTGACAGCAGAAGTCGACCACTACTCTTCCAGACCGATCGCAGACCAACCTAGCTTGCCTTGATTGGTTGGCACGTGTCTAACACAACCTGCAGATGGAAAAGGGGGAAGAGGGGGGTAAAAAGCCATTGGATGGGTAAGTCAGTGCCAGAGTTGCTGCTTTTCTAAATTTAATGAAACGTGCGTACTAAAAGCAACCCTATTGTGCAAGTTTTAGGCAAGGAAAAAAATTTTTTTATAGTATGGGACAGTCACATAGCGTCTTATATTTGGGCCTCAGAGCCATCTTCCTATGTGTCCCTCATCAATTAACATAAAGGAAACCCGTCATGGGGGCTGCAGACTTCCCTTTTAAAAATGCCTGCCTTTTTGACTTCAATTGTTTGAGCCAATGCTCTGAAACAATTCAGCAACAAGGGAACCTGAAACTTTGAGGTCAATGACGGCAGCCTACTCTTTTTATTCACAGGTTTCCCGTACATATGGATGGTTGTAACAAAAAAAGTGGCCAGAACAATTTGGAGGATGGTCCCATTGTGCCTGCAGGTTCAACCATCCTCAAGTCTATGTCCACCTGTAGACTAATGTTCATATAATACCTTATAGAAGGCCACATGGCGATCTGTAAAAGCCGAAATATTTGTCCTGAATGGCACATACTGGGAGTATTACTGTCACAGCAGTGGCGTCCAGACCAGTAGGTTCCCTCAACAGTGATCAAATCATAAATTGATTGGCTGATGGAAGACTGGGAATGAATCTGGTTCAAAGTTCTAAAAGGTGGATGATGATATTTCTATACCTATTTATAAGAATATAAAAAACTGATTTGGACACCCAATCAGAAGCCTGCTCTGGGCCATCTTCATTCACTTTGATCAAATTAAAACATGTTGTCGGTAGTCATCACTGACTTACTAATATGTTCCAACGCAGACATGATTATTTTCAGTGATGGGAAGCTGGAGAATAAAGCATTCAGCAGCAGAACAGGGGAGAGTGTGGTGAATGGAAAGTGGTTTAATTCCCATGATCCACCTAAAATAGGCTTCTTCGTCGGGACCCAGATCACGCGCACAAGAACAAGGCGCCACAATACGTAACACAATGTTATCAGACCCAACAAGCCTATACCCTCTGGAGACCCGAAATCTCTTCAGCATGACAACGCTCCACTCCCGGGGATTGCTGGCTGGCACACTAAGCTGTTCTCCAGCATCCAAGTGCCTTACGGGCTCCACATTTGCATTCTCCATTATTCCAGTTAATCCGCGCTCGGCTCAGAGGTCTCGAGTGGCATCGTGTAAGGACTTATAACCATTACTGAGTTAATTCCAGCAAATAAGGGGATAAATCCCGGTACAGCAACGGAAGACGGCACCAAAAGGATATCCCCCTGCTCCAGACAGATGGTCCAATCTAAACTGAAACAACCAGTTCAGAGGCACCTCGGAGTATAACTCTCTTATTAATTATTGCCATTTTAATACAAAAAGGAGCCACAGCCAGCAGCTCTAGGTGCAAAGCTCAACTCCTCTCTGGTACCGCCCTCTACAGTATCTCTTCTACATGACAAGATGTCCTCAGTCTAGACTGAAAAAATGTCCAGTATCATTTAACCTCAAAGGCTGATATGGACCCACCCTCTGAGGGGGAGTCACCATGGGCGATAATGATGGAGGATAGCCCATCATCAGTAGAAGATTGGAAGGTGAAGAGGGCCCCTACACGTCACCTGACCTGCCTAAAGACATCAGAAAAAAGTGGAAA